TTTCCTTTTAACAACATGCTTGAGTTTAAAGAAGGAGAGAGCCATTCTCCAACTCCAAAGTCAGCTTTAAATTTTAATTGAACTGGGACTATTAGAAGACCAATAGTGTTAGGTCAATAGGCCATTTTACTCTTGTTTCCTGGGATAGATGATTTGTCCTTTTTCCTCAGTTGTCTCATTTGTTCAGTGTTCTTCAGATTCCTTAGCCTTCATTCTCCTAAAAGACAAAAACCAAAACCTTTCCCCAAGACTAATTTTGGGGATGTTCCTTTTTGGCAAGTTATTATATGATTAAATGAAAAGGCATGTGTTACTGATACAAGTTAGTTTAAAATGGATGTTCATGCTGGTTGATGAACCATCACCTCCTCTAATTAAGAGGTCTCTCTTGTTCAAATCGAACCTTTATCAATTTTGATGGTACCCACAGCTTATCTTCTCCTGTAGAAACAAAAGCAAAACCTCGTCCCCAAGGTAACACTAACCCACTGTCCGACATGGAAGGACTCTGCCCTGTTCTGGGCCGTCATCAGGAATGGGCCTATGTCATGTCTATGGCCACCAGGCTGGGCTCCAATTTAAAGACCTGTGCTAGCATTCACCCCCTGATTCGCCCACAGTTAATAGCTTTGAGGCAGGAGTTGCAGGGCTCTGGCTAGCATTGAGTTTCATCATAGGAGGCCTGGTGCTGGGTCTCCCATCGAAGACTACACTTAATTCTGCCTTCCTTCCCTAAGTCAGAGGGGTCTCTGTGCTGTGCCCCCTGGGGGTGGAGGAGGGATGAAAGGGAAGACATAGGGACCTGTCCTTCCTGCTCTCTTCATTGTCTTATCATTTTGTTAGACTAAAGGGGGCCACGGTAGCATCCTATCTGCTATTCTTAGCTCTTCTGAAGAAAGTTAGGTGAGAATCGAGGGAGACGGTTTCTTTTTTACTGTTGGAGAGGGGAGACTGAACCCATAGTCGGCACGTTAGACAAGCACTCTTCCAGTCCTTAACAGCATCTCACCCAGCCTCTCGGGGTTCAACCTCTCAGATCTTACCACCATCTCCATCTCAGAAACTCCTCTTTTAGCCTTTTTCTTACACTGGGAGTGAAGTTTAGAATAATTTGTTTGTTTGTTTTGTTTTGTTTAGGTTAATAACCATTAAATATCTAAATGTTCTAGCATTCTCTATGATTCTAATTGCTGTCAGAGGCCTAAAAGTAATTTTGAAAGAATGAATTGTTTCTCAAAGAGGTAATGAAATCATATCTAACTAAACTAGGGCCTAAGGGAAACACTTGCTACCAATTAATAAAATACACCCAAAATGCAATCACCAACCAGGGACAAAGGTCGCCCAAAAAATGAGAGCTGAAACCTGACCTGCACACCACCACCTTCTCAAATGTCTAAAGCTTCATGGCAGTTGACCCTGGGAAACCTAATCCAGGGTTCACGTCCACCCAGTGTGACACCACAGACAATTCAGTGACCTCGGGGGACAGTAGTGGAGCTTCGTCATCCTTGTTCTAAAGGAAGTAAACAGAAGTTGAGGCTCTTTTAACTCGAGGATAAGTGTCTGCTCTACCTACCTACTATCTACCTACCTTTCCAATATAAAGTCCTTAGAATACCTTTTAAATTATGGTCCATAACAGTACTTTCACAATATCAAAACATTTTTAAGTCAGCTGACTAGTTACATTACATTCTCTCTCTCTCTCTCTCTCTCTCTCTCTCTCTCTCTCTCTCTCGTGTGTGTGTGTGTGTGTGTGTGTGTGTGTGTGTGTGTGTGTGTGTGTGACCAATGCTTGTATAACCCAGAAAAGGGCTCCAGATCCTCTAGAACTGGAATTACAGATGACTATAAGTCACCACGTGGATGCTAGGAATTAATTTTGTGTTTTACTTATACTAAAAGTAATCAAACTGGTGGCAATTTGTATAAAGGATGTCAAATAATTTTGGAAGTAATTGTGCCAATGATGTTCTTTGTGTTGATTTATAAAGAAAAAGATTCTTGGAAATACCATGCCACTCACTGTGATCCTGGCTGGAGTCCCTTCAATCGTAAATGCTACAAACTTCAGAAAGAAGAAAAGACCTGGCGTGAGGCTCTGTATTCTTGCCAGTCTAATGACAGCATGTTGATGGATGTGACTTCATTAGCAGAGGTGGAGTTTCTTATAAACCTCCTTGGGGATGGTGAGCACCCAAGACCTTTGATTTAAGACCTATGAAATAGCATGTTACTACTTTTTAATTAGAGTTCAAAACTATTTAAAAGTGATTGTTTGTAATATATATGTATGGTGTATATATAATATATGTGAGTAGATATGAAATATATATATTCAGAATTTCTAAAAAAAAAGTCCAGAAACACAACGCACTGGATTTTTATGTCATATATTCAGAAGCTATGCAACATATTCACATTTTGCCCAGTAGATTAAATATATATATTTTTAAATCTTAAGTGGTAATAACTGACCAGGGGTTGCGGGGTGGGGGGGGGCCAATCCCAATTGGTGCATATTCAACCCATACACCTAAGGCTCTGGAAATTTTATGGAAGACAGAACAGAAAGACTGTGAGAGCCAGAGGACCAGGATGCCTGCTGTGAGATAGAATCTTCTAGACATACTAGAGAAGTGGCACCCATGAAATCTTAACCATGCAGTTTACGAAACAAGACCTGCATAATGACAGCACCATTGACATGCAGACACAGATAGGGGACATCTCACAGGGCCCTGCCCCTAGAGCTACAGCCAGTTCATGGCTACAAAGAGAGAAGAGTCAGTTTTCTCCAGGGACGAGCCACCTGATAGGTTATTTCAATCCCAAGTGGTCATCCCTAAACACACATACACACGAGCAACACTAACTGGACTCAATAGATTATGCACACATATATGTAACAACATAATTAAAGAAGGGATCATGAGTTTGGGAGGGAGTACAATGGGTCACAGAATGGAGAAGGAGAAGAAGGGATAGAAATGATGTAAACACACTACATTCTCAAAAAAATAAAACTTTAAATTAAAAAAATCTTAAGGAGTAGAAGTCATAAAAGTCATTCCTTGGCAGATGGTGGTGGCTCACACCTCTAATCCCAGCACAGGTAGAGGCAGGTGGATCTCTGTGAGTTCGAGGCCATCCTGGTCTACAGAGTGAGTTTCAGGACAGCCAGGGGTACACAGAGAGAGACACCCTGTCTTAAAAAATTAAGTTGTAGAATATTATTTTAAGATGCATTACATTTGTTTATGCTGTGGAACATTTGTTTAATGATGCAAAGATGTGTTGTGTTCTTGTATGTTGTATTTGTTTAAGTCTGTGAGGCTGTGTTACTTTGCCTGTCTAAAACATCTAATTGGCCTAATAAAGAGCTGAACAGCCAATATCAAGGCAGGAGAAAGGATTGGCGGGGCTGGCAGGCAGAGAGAGTATATAGAAGGAGAAATCTGAGAAGAGGAAGAAAGAGCAAGAGAGAGAAGGAGAAGTGGACACAAGGGGGCCAGCCACGGAGTAAGAGTGAAAATAAGATATACAGAAGTAAGAGAAAGGTAATAGCCCAGAGGCAAAAGGTAGACAGGATAATTTAAGAAATGCTGGCAAGAAACAAGCCAAGCTAAGGCTGGATATTTATAATTAAGAATAAGCCTCCATGTGTAACTTATTTGGGAGCTGTGTGGCAGGGGGCCCCTAAAAGAGAAAAAGCAACCAACAACAACAAAAAGGAACGAAGGAAGGGAGGGAGGGAGGGAGGGAGGGAGGGAGGGAGGGAGGAAAACTCATTCCTTAGAATTTCCATCAAACCCTAAACCTGTAAATCAGCTTCATGGCCACTGGATAGCCACAGTATGCTATTCTCTCATAAAGGGAATTTCTTCAGTAAATGATTTAAATAACTTCATTAGGCTTGGTGGCTTTCAGGCTGTGTGTCATGCTCAGAGGTTCCGGTTCCTGGGCCTCCCATCTTCAGTTCTTCAGAGCAAGCCTGGCCCTTGACATACATCAGCCATGAAGTCTTCCTGAAAATCCTGGAAATGATTGAGTTCAGTTTCCGGTGTTTAAAAATAAAAAACGAAACCAAAAACATCCCTGGGCTCTAGGCAGTGACCTTTGCAATGTTAGGTTTTAGTCTGCAAACACAAATACTTCTATGTCCTTTTCCCTAATCCTTTGCATTTGGGATTAAAAGAATCCTGCAGCGTCCCCTGTATCAACAAGGACACTTGAAAGTCTCTCTGCTACCTAGCGTTTCTCACTGCATCCCGGCTGTGAGGCTTCGTTTGTTTTTCCAGCAACCCCACTGTTCTGTGTTAGCGCCTGGGAGAGCTTCTGCTTGTTTTATTGTGAGGGGCTGAGGGGGAGCGAGAGCAGAAAAACATTCAACTTAAACTACCGTTAAAAGAGTTCTATTGTTGGTGATGCTTTAATGATTTCCTTTCAAAATCCAATTAACCTCTTAGTTTTTCTTTTCCTTAGGCAAAAGCAAAACTAGACATTTCAGGTCGCTTTGAACAGAGTGGAGACTTGCCCTGGCCAGCGCTTGTCATGGGTTTCGCTCACACTCTGCCTTACTTGGAAGGCCTATACTGAGTAAACCTGGATATTGGGGGGAAAGAGGTCTAGACAGGTATTTCATAGATTCAAACAAGATTTATCACATAAAGAAATGAATCACACATGAGAAGGTATAGCTTACTGATAGCGTGTGCCATCAAAATATGCAAATAGTATCTTATAAATAATTTTCATCTATTTCTTACAGAAAATGCATCAGAAACATGGATTGGTTTGAGTAGCAATAAAGTTCCAGTTTCCTTTGGCTGGTCCAGTGGTTCCTCTGTCATCCTCACTAACTGGCACCCTCTTGAGCCTCGGATTTTCCCAAAGAGAAGCCAGCTGTGTGTCGCAGCAGAGCAATCTGTAAGTTGATTCATTTGATTAGTTTTGTGGCACTGATAGTGAGAACCACATAAGCCAGAGTCTCATGTCATGGGAGAGACCAAGAGAGGTGGTCCCTGTTCCTCGTGGGGCTTCCTTTCACATGGGAAGGACGACGGTCCTTACTCTGAGGAAAGAGGGGCAGAACTGGGGTTAGAGCAGGGGTTCAGACAGGACAGGGGTGGGAAGCCTCTTTCAACAGATGATCTTTAAGCTAGACCTTCAAAAACAGAAACCCTTACACAACCGAGGAAACCCATTCCAAGAAAAATGCAAAGGCAGACAAATGCTTGCCTTCTTCAGTAGCCAAACACATGACCAGTAGTAAGGAGGTGATGAATGGGACAAAGGGAGTACGAAAACACTGGTTACAAACCAAGGTGGAGGAGCCATTGGAGCGGGACACAGTGGGAAAATCTGTCCTGAAAAATAACCGTGGTCAGAACATACAGAATGGATCGGAGAGGACAAAATAGAGAGAGAGAGAAATTAGTGTCTGTTCTGTGGGGGGCCTAGGGTGGAGGCTATGCAGAGGAGAGGAGAAAAGAGGAGAGGGGAGGAGAGAAGAGAAGAGAAGAGAAGAGAAGAGAAGAGAAGAGAAGAGAAGAGAAGAGAAGAGAAGAGAAGAGAA